GGCTCTATGGAGATTTGCAACACGGGGTTAATGAGTGAAAAGAAACTTTTTTTTTTTAAAGCCTTTTCATTTTTTTTTCTAAAATACAAATCAAAAAGGAGAGCAAGAAGGCAAGAAAAAGATAGAAACAGACTGAATGTCATAGAAAGGATAGATAATATTAGATATTCTTTTTAGTTTACATAGCCCCTCCAAGAAGACCTAAAGGGAAAAATAGAATATATGGTTAGCCAGCCGGCGCGGCGCCTCCGCTCAAATCCTGGAGATGCCGTAGACGAAGCGGTGGCTCGGGCTCGCCCTCACGATGGTCTCCCGCTGAAGGGGCTCGAGCGACGAGGAGCGGAAGGTGCGGCTCACCTTGATCTGGTTCACGTCGCCCTCGTCGTGGTTCCTCATCTTCTTGATGATCTTGTTGATGTTGGCCGTCAGCTCCTCCGACTCCTTGGCCCGCCGCTGGTCGCGGATCTCGCGCGCGCCGCGGAACTTCTTGCTCTCGAAGTCGGCGCCGGCGTCGCGGATGTGGCTGAGGGCCTTCGACGCCAGGCTCTTGATGTCCATGTCGTCGCCGCCGATGTCGCCCAGGCTGATGCGGCGGCTGCGGGGCCGCGACGTGACCTTGAAGTCCGAGTCGCTGTCGACGCTGAGGAGGCGCGAGGGCCTTGGGGGGCGGGGCAGGTGCGGGGGCTTCGAGGACGACGACGACGACTCGAACTTGCTCGACTCCTTGTACGAGCTCCTGTGCACCTTGGCGCCCGTGTCGGGGTCCGTGTACGACACCTCGTCCCGCTTGACGGAGCGCTTGCCCGGCAGGCTGAGCTCGTCGTTCCACGCGCTGTGCTCGTACTTGCGCGACGTGGAGCCCCGCTCCATGGCGTCCGCCTTCTCGAAGTCGCGCTCCAGGGCCTTGAACTTCTTCATGAGCTCCGACTTGTTCTCGGGCCGGATGGCGAACTCGGCCGCCAGGTCGCGGTCGATGCTCGTGGAGGCACGCCGGACGGGGACCTTGAAGTCGGAGTCGTCGTCGAGCGAGAACTTGGTCCGCCGCGGCAGCGCGATGTCGTCATCCAGAGAGAAGTTCTTCAGCGCGTTCTTCACGCTCAGGTCGAAGTCGTCGTCGTTGAAGGAGAGCGTGCGGTCCCTGGCGCGGCCGCCGCGCGGGCCCGCCCTCGGGACGTCGTCGCTCTCGCGGCTGCCGCGGTCCCTGGCGCGGCCGGCGCTGGACGCCCTCCGCTGGAAGGGGCGCTGCGCCTCCTCCTCGCCGTAGGGGAGGCCGTGCGCCTTGCCGTAGAAGGGGCGGCTGGCGAAGCGCTCGGCGTACGTCTGCGCCTCGGGCGGGGGCGCCTTCCGCTGCGCCAGGAACTCGCGGTTCTCGATGAACTCCTTCTGCGGGTTGTAGTAGCTCTCGCCCACCTTGTAGTTATAGTCGTAGATGCGCGTCGGCACTTTCCTTTTCCACTTGTTCTGCTCCTTGTCGCTCATGCTGGCGGCTGCAAAGACACGAGGGTGAGGTGCAGTGGCAGACGGAGGCAGCGAGAAGGAACAGGGGGAAAGGAGGAGAAAGGAAAGAAGAAGGAAGAAAAGAAATGAATAAGAATAAGATGATGAAGAATGGGAGAAGGAAGTGACAAGCAGTATTGATAAGAAAAGAAGAGAAAGAAAAGAAAAGAACAGAAAGAAAAGAAGAAAAAACTAAAAGGAAAAGAAAAAAGTAAAGTAGAAGAAAGAAAAGTAGAAGAAAAAGACAGAAAAGAAAAAAGAAGCAGCAGAAAAAAAACTTAAGTAAATATCAATCAAAAGAAATAAGAAACAGGCATTAACTATAGGAAAGGGATTTTGAAATCTACTTTTTATCATGCCATAAAAAAGACTTTGAAATATCAAGAACACATTATCTTGTTCTTAGTATTACTATGATATTTGGTAAATATTATGATATCAAAACCATTTCATCAATTCAAATCAAGAAGCATGCAAAGATATACACACATGAATCTACATACATTATGTGTATGATGCACTTATGTTATAATGATAATGGTTATGATGTTGATTATGAAGAAAGTGTCATATGAAGCTTTAGATAATAATTGCAGAAATCATGTATTTTTTTCAGACAATTCAGGAAGTTTGCTGTAAGAAGACTTCACTCGAAATCGTATTTGGTTATTGACTTTATTCACTGGTTTTCATAAAATGTTTTAAAAATTAGTGTCATTTGTTAGTTCAAAATCAATCCTGATCAGTTATTTGAAAAAAAGCACGTAATCATTACTTACACAATTATAGATATCCATAGTTCTGGCATTTGCTTGTAAAACCATTACCAATTTTTTTTAAAAGTAAAAAGGGAAAATGTCAAAATTGTTATAAAGTATGTGATAAAAGTGTTGCTCACTCATTACAAAAACATAAATATTCGTAGTTTTTCTATGTGGTTTTCTGCCATACAGTTTAAGGAGATTTCTGTATTTATCTATTTATTTGTTTGTTTATATCTTTAGGTCATATCGTGATGACTGAATGACTTGGGATTATACAATTATATTGTTTATTTTCTTTTTCTTTTAACAATTTACCCCCCCACCCTCCCACAATTCATCGAAAGTCAGAGAGAGAGAGAGAGAGAGAGAGAGAGAGAGAGAGAGAGAGAGAGAGAGAGAGAGAGAGAGAAGAGAGAGAGAGAGAGAGAGAGAGAGAGAGAGAGAGAGAGAGAGAGAGAGAAGAGAGAAGATAAGATAAGAGAAGAGAAGAGAAGAGAAGAGAAGAGAAGAGAAGAGAAGAGAAGAGAAGAGAAGAGAAGAGAAGAAGAGAAGAGAAGAGAAGAGAAGAGAGAGTGAGTCAGAGAGAAAGAGAAAGAGAGAGAAAGAGAGAGAGGGAAAGAGACACAGAAAGAGGAGGGTCAGAGAGATAGATAGATGGACAGATAGACAGATAAATAAAGAGTTAGATAGAAAGAGATATATAGAGAGATAGAAGAGAGAAGGAAGAGAGAGATAGATAGATAGACAGACTGACAGACAGCTAGAGAAATAGATAGACAGATAGAAAGACAGATAGATATACATAGAAACAGATAGAAAAATCTATCTATCTATATCTATCTATCTGTCTGTCTATCGATCTATCTATCAAGAGTTAGATAGAGAGAGATAAAGAGGGGGGATATAAAGATAGATAGAATGATAGATAGTTAGATAGACAGACAGGCAGACAGACAGAGCTAGATAAAAAGATAGATAAGTAAATAGAGATATATGGGTAGATATATAGATATATAGATCGGTATATATATATATATATATATAGAGAGAGAGAGAGAGAGAGAGAGTGAGAGAGAGAGAGAGAGAGAGAGATAGATAGATAGATAGATAGATAGATAGATAGATCGATAGATAGATAAATAGAGAGAGAGAGAGAGAGAGAGAGAGAAGCGAGAGAGAAAAGATGCTACTACAGCCCACCCATTTGGCACCGGCCTCAGACAGCGGCCCAGGAAGACCGAGCGAGCGAGCGTATACATGTGTTCTCGAGCGTTTTCTTGTGTTCTCGTGTCTTCCCTTGTGTTCTTTTGTGTTCTCTCCTTTTCCCTCGTGTTATTCGTGTTCTCCTCTGTCCCTAGGTTCTCCGAAATGGACCGGAGATACTGACACCCTCAGAATAATGTCTGACGAGGCCTTATTGGGGAATGTTTGACAGCTCCCAAAATAGCCCGCGGCGTGGGCCCGGCCGGAGCCCCTGCCCTCACTCGCTCGCCCGGCCCCTCGCCTGCTGGCCTGCAACATCCCCGCTTTGTTGCGATTGTCAGATGGTGAGTTGCAATGAGAGAGGGAAGGTCTGTTAAATAGTTTTATTTATTTTTTTTTATAACATAATTATCCATTTGAGTGTGTGTGTTGCGATGGAATATGAAGACAAGATTATGAGAGAAATAAAATAAAATAAAAGAGGATGATGATAATATTGCCACACACAGTCTCGGAACACCTACTGGACGTGCGTCACCGACGTGTTGCGTTCTGAATTATAGAAGAAGGGGGACGAAGAAACGAAGACGTCGGAGGAGCGGAGAAGAGGGAGAGAGAGGAAGAGAGAGAAGGAGAGAGGAAGAGAGAAGGATAGAGGGAGAAGGAGAAAGGGAGAGGAAGCGGGCGCGAGGATCCTTAGATGATTCGTCGGACCTTGGAGATGTGCAGGGCGGACAGGCCTTTGAGGCGCTCGTTCATGGGCTTCTCATCGATGTACTTGACGTCGATGAGGCCGCTGGAGATGGAGGATCGCGAGACGGAGCCATACTTCTCCTTCCGCGCCACCTCGTACTCGGACCAGATGGAGGAGTTGCGGCTGTACACCTTGGGGGCGCCGGGGCGCTCGAAGTGCATTCCGACCAGGCACACGGAGTTAGACATGGCTGCGACTCACTGCTGCAACGACACGCCCGCAGGCACCAAGGGGTAAGTCCCGGGGTCAGACCGTCCTTCTCTGACCCCTCTTCGTGGCAGGAGAAGCAGCGGGGGAGGAGAGGAAGGGAGAGGGGAGACGGAGAGAGGAAGGAGGAACAGCTGCACAGAGAGGGAGAGAGTAAGGGGGGAGGGTGTTGTCTGGGGGAGGTTGAGCGTCCAACGCCAGCAGGAGCTAGAATTCTTCCGCAAAGCCTTTCTTTCATTTCTTTCACTAAGGAAATTCCTTCGAGAGTACAGTCATCACTTAAACATATCTGTTATACAAAAGAGGGAGGGCTACGGTATACGTAGAACTAACAAAGGGACAACTGTATCAAAATACGTTAATCGTCGTTCGCAAAAAAAAAGAAACAAGAAAAAATAAAAGAAAACAGTAAGAGAAAGATAGAATAACGAGCTAAGATCAATCCTTTCGGAATCTGAGAAAGATAGAGTCCCGCAGAAATAGAGGAAATGACACTTTGATGTATCTTTTGAATTTGTAATTAATTACAGGGAAAAAGAGAGAGTAGAAGTTTACGAAAAGAAAGAGAGAGAGAA